TAGTAACTTCAGTCTTCATCTCTGAGATAATTTTTTTTCTTTTTTTCCTGAGTTAGACAGCTGTTTTCATTTTTTTCCTGAGTCTTTCATCCTCCTCTGATCTTAGTTTTTGAGTTTGATTCAAAGATATTTTTCATATCTCTAAATGCTTCTTTGGGGCATATTTAATTAAGTTTGTTCGGTGCATTTTTCTTGAAGTGTTTTTTCTGTTCCCTTCTCCAGAGTGGAGAGAATGTATCATTACAGGTTGGATCTTTTTAAAAATTTTAATAATAACAGTAGACTTCTAGGTTTTCTTTACTCCCATAGGTTAAGGGTGGTTCACAGTATTACTTATTCCATGGTGCCCTCTTCTGTCTGTGTAGAATGATCTACTTTGAGGAATAGGCAAAGAAGTGCTTGTCTCATTTTAGCTGTTTCTAACTAGTGTTTCAGAATCCCCATTATCTTGTTTTCTGTAGGACACATGGGTTCAGTTTTTATCTTTTCCCTCTGCAGGGATTCAAAACCATCTTTTGATTTTGATCTCCCAGATTTTTGCTACACTCTGTTTAGGGCTGATGGCTCATCCCTCATTCTCTTTATTGTTGTGGCTTTATAAGTTACTTGGTCCTTTATTGGTAAATTTACTATTGTAATTGGTGAAGTAGATAAATGTAGGCATTTAGCCTGCTATTTTTAATTGGGGATTTTGCATGTGAATTTTTAAAATACCAATGAAGAATCTTTGATTCCCCCCCCCTTATGCAGACTCTCTGAATTAATGGATTCTGATACCCAACAAGTTGGGGCATGAGGTTGGCAAGATGAAAAAGAGACATATAAACAAAGATTCAGGTTTCAGCACTGCTGATTTCTACCAATGTGGCCATAGTGCCTTAATTTACTCCTCCCCCAGCCCCCCAAAAAATTGTGCCCTGCATTTTGTAGGATAGTGATTTGTACCTATTATATATGACTAAAAGCGATGAGTTATTTAGTTCCTTTTAGTATGCTTTTAACAGTTTATCATATACTACTAGGAAAAACAGAAGGCACAGAGAATGTAATTATCTAGGAAAACACAAAAATGTTTAGGTATAATACAGTAAGGTTCAAAAGGATATTTCAGAAGTCTAAGTCATAAGAAGTGACTTCATGTATTTTGGTGGTGAGTCCCTTCATTTAAGATTCAAAACTTATACCACTTTTTAAACTTAGGAAAGTAATACAGATTTATTACAGAGTATTTGGAAAATATGAGAGAGCAGATGCACAGGAAGAATATAAGGCCCACCTAAAAAATATTTTGTAGTGTATTCTGTTCTGTATTTTAGTCTATTTTTTCTACACACATACTCATTTATATTTGTACATGTTATTTATATTATAGCACGTTATAATATACATTATATTTATGCAAGTTGTATTGGTACATCTAAACTGGCACCCACCCACCTGTCTCTTACCTCAAAAAAGTATCCTAACATCTTTTCAGGTTAGTAAAGGTCTGCATTATGTTGGTTTTTACTACTACCTAAGAGTTCCATTTTATGTATATAACATAATTTTATATAACTAATTCCTGTTGCCATTTAGACTTTATGGGTTTTTTTTTTTGGTGTTATAAACAGTGCCTGATAAGCATTTTATTTAATCATTGTTGCCCCTTTGTATGTTGTCTTTGTTGAATTTCCTAAGTGGAGTTGGTAGGTCAAAAGAATACCTGTTTTTTAAAAATTATTTTTATTACCATATAATGTATTTTTTGCCCCAGGGGTATAGGTCTGTGAATCATCAGGCTTACACATTTCACAGCACTCACCATAGCACATACCCTCCCCAATGTCCATAACCCAACCACCGTGTCCCAACTCCCCCACCTCCTAGCAACCCCCAGTTTGTTTTGTGAGATTAAGAGTCTAAAAGAATACCGTCTTAATGGAAAAGAAAGCAAGTAGCACTTTTAATAACGTCACCATAACAAGTAACCTCACCAACATACAATGCAGCATGTAAGAAGGAATCACCATTATTCCTTCCAGTCTTTGCCCCAATAAAGACAAATGAAAACTCTGGTACCTGCTTCCATGTTTGCATGTTTGTCCCTGGCTGTGGTTATTGTATGAAGCTCAGGCCTCTAGAAGCTGTATCATTGTTGGTTTTTTTCTGAATTTTTAGGTTGAGAGGCTGTCTGATAATATGGGAAAGGAAATGATAGCTGAGAATTTATTTTTAGAGCTAAATTTGGTCTGTAAATTAAAATGGGGGAGTGTGTCATGATCTGTCTCCTTAATTTCTGGCTACAGCTCTGTCATCTGCCAGCTGTGTTAACAAGGAGAGTCATCTATGATCTATTTTTAAATTTCCTCACATGTAAAATTAAAATAATATTAAATCTTCATCTATTAAAGATGTATTTCAGTAATTGGTTAATACCTAAAAATGTTTTGTACTTAGGAGAAAGTCCATTATATAGCAAAAGAATCTCTTCACATCAAAAATGTACTACCAGTTAGCTCAGTTTCCTCTTGCCACCCATGTTTCTAGATTATTAGCATTACAAGAACATGGTTTTTTATTTATTTTATTTTTGTTTTATTTTTTAAAGATTTTATTTTTTTATTTGAGAGAGCACAAGTGGAGGGAGGGGGCAGAGGAAGAAGGAAGGCAGACTCCCTGCTGAGCAGGGAGTCTGATGTGGGGCTGGGTCCCAGGACCCCAGGTTTATAACCTGGGCTGAAAGCAGATGCTTAACTGACTGAGCCATACAGGGGCCCCTGGGTTTCTTTTTTTTGTTTTTAACAGCCCATTCTAGTAAAGATGGAATAGTCAAAAAAAAACTCAAATCAGAGTCCTGAAATTTGACCTTCTCATGTATATATACCATAACTAAGAGCAAATCATTTGTTTCTTGAGTCTCATATATGATGTAGTATAATATCTATACTTGTCCCCAAATTTTGAGGAGTTAATAAGCTTGCAATTGTGGTTGTACTTTAAGAATTGTAAAATAGTATAAAAATACAAGGTGGCTTTTCAGATTACATCACTTTATTTGACCATGAGAGGTGAAATGTCAGCAAGGTAATAGGAGAGTATAAGCTTAAATAATGCTAGAAATTGCTCTTTCAGAGCCTGGCTTTCCTAATTTCTTGATGCTGTTGTGGGTGTGTTTGATCCTCTCACAATTTTTTAGTTAACTCAAAAGTTTTTTACTGAAGACTCTTACTAATGATAGTAATATTTATATGAGGAAGTGTATTTAGTGCTCCAACTTGGGGTCCTATCCTATGAAGAAAAACATTTCTTCTGGTATTGAAAGTAGAAAAATTCAAATATAAGCTAGCACCCACCCACCTTTTATCTCAGTTGCTTGCCTTTTTTGAATGTCTCTGAGCTTTTGTCTGTTTTGGACATTTTATTTTCTCTGCCTGGATTCTTTTTTTCTTTTTTGGTCTTTGCCTTGCTAAATCTAAATCTCTATCAATCCTGAAAGTTTTAAAGATTTTTTTTTATTTATTTGAGAGAAAGCAAAAGTGATCATAGAAGGAGAGGGGTCAGAGAAGGAAAGGGAGAAGCAGACTTGTTGCTGAACAGAGAGCCTGATGTGGGACGAGGTCCCAGTACCCTGAGATCAGGACGCTCTACTGGCTGAGCTACCCAGGTGCCCTGATGCTGAAAGTTTTAGTTTAGATTTTACTTTCTTTGGGTATCTTTCTCTATCCTCCTTAAACTCCTTAAACTCCTTAAAGTGGTTTGACTAATTGAGAAGAGACAAGTCTGTCAAGCCCAAACCTGATTGTATACTTAGGTATCTTTCTTCTACTAGCTAAGTTCCTTAATAGCAGAGTCTGTCATTCACTCTTAGTATCTGGTGTCTACTGGGTGCTCTGAAATGTATTGAAAGAATGATCTGATAAATTCTTAGCCAGTACTCTTCTAGATAAAGAAACCACAGAAGGCCTCTCTCTGATCAGATGAGATTTGAAGGAATTTCAAAAGCAATCCTTTTGGATGTTTAAGAACCTGGAGGAAAGGCAGTGTGGCTACAATAAAGGAGGGTAGGGAGAGGTAGAAGATAAGGTCAGAGAGAAATAAGGCCTTCTATTAGTCCATGATAATTTTAATCTTTAATCTGAGTATGAAGGGGATCTATTGCGGAGTGACGTGACCTAATTTGCCTTCTACAAAGTAAAACTACTTTGTTGAGCATGGTCCCTTGTGGGCCAAGGGAGAAAGTAGGTATTAAGTGGTGAAGAGAATGGGAAGTTACTAGAATCAGGATGTATTTTATAGGAACTTTTGTTTAACCTTAGTTCAAAAATATTTCTTGCTGGAGCGCCTGAGTGGCTCAGTTGTTAAGCTTATCTCCCTTGGGCTCAGGTCATGATCTCCGGGTCCTGGGATCAAGCCCTACATCAGGCTCCCTGCTCAGCAGGAAGTCTGCTTCTCCCTCCCTCTCCTACTCTCTGACCTGTGTTCCCTCTCTCACTGTGTCTCTCTCTGTCAAATAAATAAATAAAATCTTTAAAAAACATATATATATTTCTTGCTGTGATAGTAATATGTCTGTTGAATGTAAGTTTTTTCTTTTTTTGAGTTATTCATATTTTGTACTTTTGAAGTTTCAGGTGTGTACTTGCAGAAGATAATGAAAACCTGTGACATTGTCATTTGCATATTTTCCCATATGCTTGTATTGGTGATAAACACCTCTGTTAATTTAGCAAACAAGGAATCAATTTTCTTTTAATTGAGATGTTAAATTTTAGTTTGTGAATATGTGTATAATCTTTAAAGAAAATTCTGCTTAATAAAATTACAAACATCTAAGGTGATACCAGGATGAGCACAAGTGTTATCAATGGCAGTGCTTTCTATAGTTCTATGGCAAAGAAACTGTTTATAATTAATTCTTAAGTCACCTTGAAGTTATTAAACAAAAAAATTTCAAGTAGAATTATGCATTGAATTAACATTATTAAAACGACTTATGTTGCCTACTTTACATTTTTCAGGAACATCACTTACAGCGAGCTATTTCAGCACAGCAAGTGTTTAGAGAAAAAAAAGAGAGCATGGTCATTCCAGTTCCTGAAGCAGAGAGCAACGTCAACTATTACAATCGCTTGTACAAAGGAGAGTTTAAACAGCCAAAACAGTTCATTCATATTCAGCGTAAGTTTGTTGATTCATTGTTTTCTGTTTGTAATTTAAATTTATCAGCCAGTGAAAATTCTTTCTTTTATGCCCAAAGAGATTTTAATTTTTCAGTGTGTATATATTAATTCATAGAAATGTAAAACATAAAGGATAAAATCTCTCTGTGCTTACATCTGAACTTGGAAATCATTTTGAGTGTTAGTTGCATTGGAACATTTGATATTTAATACAGAATTTTGTGTAGCACTTACACCTTATTACTTTACATCTAAAAGTTGGGTTAGTGTACTCAGATTTATTATAAAGGTCTAGTGGCTATAATGCTGATTAGGGTCAAATCCTCAGAAAGTTTTTAGAATTAAAATATACCCCTCTACCTTCATCTGATTTTTATAAAATTCTATTTCTGCCTCCCTGCTGTTCTCTTATTTTTCTCCCTATTATATTTAATCACAATCTCTTGCTTTAAAACTATTTCACTAAATTTTATTATTTATTTACTACTCCTCCATTGCCTTTCCTTACCCTCTTCTATTGTTATCTTCTCCACAAAGTCTACTGGCACCACAGTGGCCTTCTTAAAGTGTTCCTCTCATCTGATTATTCTCTGGCTTAAAGTCATACTATTCTTTATTGTCTACAGTAGGAGTTTTCAGGGGATGGTTCTAATGTTTTGATGTCTTGTCTGATTGTGTAAGAAAAAGCCCTGGGTAGCTTGTTAAAATAGAGATTCCAGGGCTCTGCTTTAGGCCTACCTGTTTGAGGTATGTGGCCTGGTAATAAGTATTTTTTAAAAGTTTCTCAGGTAATTATGAAACCTCTCCAGATTTAAGACTATAAGACCTACTGTTTTCTATCAGTTCTAAGATGCATATTTTTTATTGACCAGTTTTGAAATGAAATTGCATATTAAATTGCTGTTGTTCTGGATTCAGGTCTAGTTTATCTAAAGAAAATCTGTATTTGTTTCTGCCAAGCATCTAGGGACACTTCAACAGGAGACCACGTTAAACTTTTTGCTGTTTATTTTGTTTGTTTTTAGACCACACTTGAGTAGCTTTAGTTCAGGCTACAGACCTGCCTAGAGTTCAGTTCTCAGGGAGAGTGTTTTCCCTCCTCCTTTGACCTAAGGGCAAGTTGAGAAATGAAGTTCCTTGCTATTCCATTCTGTATAGCTGGTTTATTTCTTTACCTTAAGCTGAAGTTGTTATCGCTTGTTAGTCTGTCTTTGTGCGGGAGTATTCTATTAAACTTCTTAAGAGACACCAGCAGAAAGCTTTTTTTTTTTCTTTCTTTCTTATAGTACATAAGTTCATGGTTCACCTTTTAACTTATGGCAGTTTATATTTGACAGAATTGAGTAATGGCCAAATTCTCTACTTTGAATACAAGACCCTTTGTGATTTTTTTTTTCCCCCGTCTACTCCATTAACCTCATTTCCTGTTGTTCTTCCCCTCACTCTCTTTACCATAGGAACTAACATAAAATTACCCACATTTCCCTGATTGTTTTGTGTTTCACACTTCCTCGCACATGCTATTCAAGTCATCTTTCGCCTCCTGTAACTCATTTAGTACCTAACTGCCCTAAGAAGCTTACCCTGACTTTTCTCATTGACCTATGTTTTTTACTCATTTCAGTATCTTTGTACATAACCTCTGTTAGAGGACTCACCCTACTTAATTGCAATTATTTGTAACCATTCTTTCCTTTTAAACCATGAGCTCCTGGGGGCAGGGACAGTGTTTTATTTTCTCTTTGTATATTTAGAGTAAAGTGCATGGTTTATAGATACACAATAAATAGTATGTTTGTTGACTAAATTTTTAAAAAATGCCTTTTAAAAAGGCTCTTAAGTATCAGAACCGTTTTCCAGAGACCTGACTCTGAAGCAGTCAAGAGACATATGCAGACATTATTTATGTGATTTGTTTCCTCTGTATTCTTTGACCCCTTTAGTTTATTTGAATTTGCCTTTTCCTTTGTATTGGAAGGGAGATAGCTTTTCATAATAGGAATTTTAAGGATTTTTCAAGCCAAAGTACGTGTTTGTTGTTGTTTTGTATTTAGTAATAGTGTAGCTGGACATTAAGGCCATATATAAAAACCATCCTAGAAAACCAAGAACAAAGAAATTGGGTGTAGCCCACCTAGGTTAGGCCCATTAGATACAATAAATATTAATCTTGGGTTGGCTTTTAAGTTTCATTTCATTCTGTTACTGTAGAAGATGGAAAAAAATAATAGAACATTATTTTAACTTTCATTTTTTTCTTTTAGTCTGTCAACATATGTATTCACATACTATGTACAATAGCCTCCTGCACATACAGATTTTTATTGTTTTTTCTTTGTATATTTTAAATTTCTTAGATTTTTAGTGTAGTTTGTGATTGTCATTTTCAGTGCCTGTTAATTCTATCAAATTGATATTCCACAATTTGCTTACCTTTATGCCTATTACTGGCCTTAAACTTGTCTGAACTAAAATTTAAATTCATGTTATCATTGAGATTTTTTTTTCAAGGAAGGCCTTTTTTCCCTAAAGTTCATTTATTTACTTTTCATAATCTCTATACCCAGTGTGGGGCTTGAACTCACAAACCTGTGATCAAGAGTCACATGCTCTTCCAGCTGAGCCAGCCAGGCACCCCTCAAGGAAGGGCTTTTAAACATTTTTTGACGTAACTTCTTTCTGAGTCCTTAAGTATAAGGAATTCCAGAAAATACTGCTCTGGCTTTTTCATTTTGTTTTTTACATGATAGATTTGAAAGTACCCCCATTTGCCTGGCTAGAAGAAGATATAATTGCCACAGTAGGATGGCCTACTTCAGGTCCATCACATTGTTTGCCTGGGCTTTGGCAGAAGCTTCTTTATTGGTCCACATTGCCACTAATGTGATTCTTATCCATTTAGAGAATCTGTTGTCTATCAGATAAAATTTTAGTATTGTATTTTAAGGCTTTTCTTCTTTGTGCCTCTCCAGCCACAGTTCCCTGTGGGTTCTTACACTAGGACACCAGCCTTACTGAAATGAGCTGTTGAAAGTAAAAGTCTGTTTCTTTCTCTAGATGGTAAGCTTCTCAGCAGCAGAATTTTGCCTCATTCACCACACAGTCCCAGAATGCAGCCTCAATACATTGTTTTTTCCAATTCCTCTAACCCTTTGCACTTTTCAGCTACAAAATAATGTGCTCCTTACGACACTCTGACTTACGCCGTATTTTCTCGTACCTCCATGCCTTCGCATACCCCTTTACTTCTGTCCTCCACTTGGTACTATATAACTTGTTCTCTGTGTCTCCTCTCCAGGATTATATTTAGCAGCCTTCTCTAAGTAAACTGTTTACCTCAAGCTCTTCTATGTCATATGCAACACACCCTCATCTTGGGATTAACCGTCTTCAGTTGTGATTGTTTCACTAGGCTATAACAGTCATTGAGAACAGGGACACTTTTTTCCTTTTAATTTCACTGCTCAGTAGTACCTACCATGTGGTTAGGTATGCAGTTTAATATTTGCTGAATAAATAAATGAGTGACTGAATGGATGATTAAAGATTATATATACCATGGCATTTTTGAGACATGGATCTTGTAGGGCTCAAAATTGTACACAGAACCAAATACAACAATGAAATTACTGGTATTTACAGTGAAATCGAGGACCTGTGTAGATCCAAGTTGGAAATAAAAAGTGAGCTCTGTTATTTACAAGAGTGTCATTTTAGGACATTTTAGGACAGAACACATGTATACCAGGAAGGAGCTGGGAGTGGAATGATTCCGGTCTTGGTATGGATGGGAGAACATTGTTCCTTCCTCTGTCTTTCAGTACTAGGTCTCCATAGTTACCTGTATTGGTAGTCTGAGGAACTTCTTTAATCAGAATACGCTGGGATATTCTTTCCAGGTTGGAAGCATCTTAAAGCCATATAGTCTGATGACCTAGGATACTCAAACTGTGCCTCATTTGGCTAATTCTGCATACTGGTCAGTTGGATGGCACATCCATAAGACACTGTCTCCATTTTACTTAAACTTAAAACAAATTTACTTTAGGTGCTTTACGCCAGATGTTAAAATTCCTTCATTCCTTTTGGAACTTAAGAACTTCATCAAATTCAGAACCCAAGCTTCCCTCCTTGAGGAGATGACTTTGTTTACATTGTAATAAGTTTTTTATTTTGAACTTCATTATCCCTTTTATTTAATATGGTAAAATTTTACAGTTAACATTAAGTATCTCAGAATTTTAGAACATGAAGGCACTTGAGATACTGTTTTGGTATTGTTTCCTAGTGTTCTGAAGCTAATTTATGTCTAGTTTTGAATTCAGCTAAATGGTTCTTGAAAATAGGACTCGTTATCTTGTTTTGAAAGGAAGAGTCTCTTCCTCTTCTCACTATATTATACCTACAAATACAGATCACTCTCCCATCTCAGCTGCTTCTTGGCTGAAAAAAAGAAGAGTTCAGGAGGACGGATAGGTGGGAAGTGGCAACCTTCTAGTTATCTGCCAGACAGGGAGGGGAACTTACTAAAAGGAGATTGACTTCTGCTATTTGTATCTGCAGCAAAGATAATAAAGCCCTGGGAAAGCGCCAGTCTTTGTGTTCTATTACTATGCACTTAGTACACATGGCTTCTCAGTCGGATAAAACTAACCTTTGTCAAGTCAACATTGGGAAAAGAAAAATTCCACTTATTCAGTGTAAAGTGGACCTGTATATCCCACTAGGTTTTCAGCAGGAGTGATGTAGATGCTGGCCTAACATCTAACTTCAGTCTTGTTATCCTTGCAATATCCTTTGTTGTTCTCATTAACAAAAATGGTGATAATTGACCCTTATCCTGATGGGACAAACATGTTTTGATTGGTAAGAGTGGGAAAAGATCCCAGATGAAGAGTATTGCTTTGTTTATACGGTAAAACTCCTTGGTGAAAAGGGTGCATTCTAGGAACATCACTTTTTGTAAAAATGTTAGGAAGTGTGTATTAAACAGTTAAA